TAACTGATTAATCTTTAGGCTATCACTCCCGGCACAAGAATAAACACTTTCAAATTCCACATCTAGGTGCAATTTGATTACAAACTATGATTATAGGTAAACATGGCAAAAACACTAAATTTCCCTCAAACACGGGACAGATAGAATACTCTCTCTTAAGTCTTTATTGACTGACAGATACCACCTTGTTTGAGTTTTATAAACGTCCGTAGAGTCACAGTCTCTTTTGCCAGGTATAAACTGGGTTGGAAGAGACGTGACAGTAATAATCAGACTGTGTATGTGCATTTACAAGCAGGAAAAGATCAGCACTTCACTCCACACAAAGATTCAGCGTATGACACAAGATACGGGGCGGAACCCCCCCCCGCCTTTGTGTTGGTCGTTGTTTGATCGGAATCTCAGGAATTCTTTACAGACTTCTAGGGGGGATGTGTTAGGTAACAAGTCTAGAGTGTGTATAGGGTTTGGACATGTGGGGGGTACCCATCGGCCCCACATTGTGCACGGTATCTTGTGGTGGTTATGTAATCACAAATTAGATCCCTTCAAAAAGGTTAACAGAACACAAACAAAAATGGTAATACTGCCAAAAAAACTCTGTTCACAATGCAAACCTTCAAGTTGTGTTTAATGACTACAAATTACGCAAGGCGGAGAAGCCAGCACCAAGGCAGGACTTACCATGCAGTCAAACTTGTTGAAGGCTGACTTGAAGTACACAGCCGGGCTAAGACCATACATCTTAATGGCCATCTCTGTGATGAAGATACCTAAGAAGACATACTCCGCATGGTCTGTGAAAAGAAGAGACAAATTGGGCGAGTCTTGAAAACTGCACAAACCAGCCACGGGCAATTAATATGCCAACATCTTATGGAATAAGAACTATCCACAAGCAGCTTCTCACATATTAAACTGATTTAAGTACATATAATAGCAATAGGGAAGGCATATCTTCCAACAAAATCAACATCTAGACTGATACATTTTAATTCATTCAAGGTCTAAATATAATGGAGGATGCACCCAGGTATTCTCATGTTACTCTTACTGCTAGGCTGCACACCCCTAATCCTTCCTTGGTAAGCATCAATTCCATGATGTAAACCAATGAGCAGAAAGTGTGAACCATTGAAAGCAGAGTGCCTTTCAGTACTTCTCCTTACTTGCTCAACAAAGCATCCTTTTCCATCTCAGTAATAAAGCCCAAGACAAAGACGAAACTTAGTGTTTAAACCTCCCCCCATGATGTCTTGATGACACCACAGGTTATTGCTTGGAAACAGGACGCCTTCTCTTGTCCATACCCAAAGCTTATGACAAGGAGTGAACTAACTGATGATACTTACTAAGGAACTGTGTCAGCCACTCTGGTTGTTGGTAATGCTCGATAGCAACACAGACTGTGTTGAGGAACACCAGCACGATGACTAGCCAATAAAACGCCTGCGTTTTGACCATGTGACGCACTTGGAACCTTAACCTTTTCTCTCGGCGACGTAGCCAGAGACATCGCTTCTGCTTCTGCTTCTTCTCTGATTTGTTAGATTTGGGGGAACCGGTTAGTTTGGCTTTATCTATGGGTTAGATTATGCAAGTGGTGATGGTGGGATGGGGACCAGTGAAAAAGCATGGAATTTGTTATTTTGTTTTAGGAATTTGTAGGTTAAAAGCCAGTACACAAGCATGATTGGTCACAAGATTAGTAGGTTAAGAGGAGAAAAGAACAGAAAATTCACGTTATTATAAATTGTCAATTTAATGATCAATACAAGAATACTTACAATTAATAATCATTTCATTTGTGTTTTAGGTTAGTACACATTTCAAACACTGGTGGTCACATTGGTTATTTATTCACAAGTTACTGGAGCACAATTTAGTAGATTTAGTAAAAGGGAGGAGAGATTAATTAAATTTCCCAAAAGACAACTACTGTACTTTCCAGGGAGGCCATATTTCTACTTTCCATTTACAAAATGGTTTGTAGCGGCATATCACGATTTTCACTGAACTTCTAGGTCTGACAGTCTAAGCTAATTGTTGCTTTGAAGTACAGAAAAGAATTGTTGGTAATTGTTCCCTTATGTTATGAATACTGAGGGACTGATAAAATTGGTAATTGCTCTCTTGTTTTAGGGAAACTACTCTTTGTAAATGCATTGTTGGCAGTGCAACAGCATTTTTCCCAGCCGGCATTTACTTGGCAGTTTGAAAAGGCTAATAAAAACAGGTAGAATTTTCAGCAAAGGATTTGTGAAAGCTACCATGAAATTATGCAAAGTCAATTATTTTCACATCAGTGAAAACAGTATGAAATATTCTGACTATATTTAACAGTGAAATGATTATGATAATCTGGATTTTCATGGTAATTATGTGGATGCCAAGAAGTGCATTGAACCAGGTGAGCAAACGACGATCAGACAGTTTATTTCCTGGCCTTGGTTTTATTCATCTCCATCATATACAGGTACAAGGGTTCTTGGACATATCAACCATGTCATTCAGGGGGCAAGACTTTGACATGGGTTGAATTTTGCCACTTGCACAAGTGCTTCATGTGAGACACGTCACGGATGATACAACGGGCTTAGCTGGGCTGCTCCACGGCTAATGACTAGCATTCATTACTACTCCACTTTGATTCCATATATCATTAGGGATCAGCTCAAATGCCTGTAATCAGGGATCATCCACAATGCTTGTTAATTATTTTCAGGTAAGCTCTACTTGGAAAAGATTTTTTAAAAAGCTATTCATAAAGAAGATTGATTTTAAATACTGGTGTAACAATCTCATAACTCCGGTGAAAAAATGAAAAAAATGGGCTGTTAGGCAGTTATTGAGAATGTTCCTTTTTTTACTAAAGAATTGAAATATTTTGATGGCAGTTAATGAGCATTTTCAAAATAACCACCCGACAAGGGCACAAGACATTAACCATTCATTGTAGACTGAAGCATACATGTGTGAATTCGAATTCTCAAAAATAAAAAAAATAAAATAAAAAACCAGATAAAAGACCAGTCAAATATCAAAATTTGGGAAATCAAACTGTGCACTTAGATAATGGCTGCCATTAATTTCACGCTCATTATGTCCACGATTCATTTGTTGTGTTTGTAATTAGCTTAGCATATCCATTTTCTTCACAAATATCAGTAACTGCATGTAATTCTGTCCTGATGGAAAGTTACAGAATTAAAACAATCAGCAGTAATTAGGTTAATGTCCTCCGGGTTCAATAAGATAAGCATGGTTGTTATTTTAGTGACGACGACAGCAACCGAGGATTAACTGAGAGAAATGAGGATATTACATGAAGTATAATTACAATTGTGTCCTTCGATGCAATTAATTCTGGATCTTAGCTGAGGTACTTTGAAGACTATAAACCTGAGTACGATGCTACGCCACTGTTAAAATATTCTTAGCGTGACATAGTGTTCAGATGTTTCACTATTACTTGCCTTTGAGGGTGTACTGGTATGCTTAGCTAGTTACAGCTTTTTACTAGGAATGTTTTTTACTTGCCAAACAGCTCAGGTGATTTTGATTGAGATCCCGTTTAGGTAAACAGAGAAAAACTGATGAATTTCTACAAAGAATCAAGTGCAAATGGCAAAGAACTGCCTGCAGACATTTGCTCGTACTTTTTAAAATTTTTCTTAAAGCCCAGTGGATCTTGTTTTTTTATCAAAGACAGCTGCAAAAAACACAATACTAAGGAGATGGGAGACATGACCAGCATCTTGACAAGTTGGGGACGGTTACAGAGTGAGCGCTTTGCATCTTTCATGCAACCATTGTGATGAGTATGTTTAGTAAGGGCAAGTAAGACACGAGGGTGATGTTATGAACGACATGTGAAATGTACACATCAAACAGCGACTGAGTAAACTAGTATCCATGTTTTCCATTTTCAAAAAGATATAAGGTTAAAAAACCCTGCTGCACCTTTCCTATCAATTAATGAAAAACAACTCAATATATAAAGACTGATTTGATTAGAGGTTTATAAGGCATGATCTTCAAGCTGCTGTGAAATTCAAGCTTGGAAGCCATTTCTGCAATTGTGGTGCAGGTATTTTAAAAGTTAAACATCTCCACCAGCAAGTTTTCTTAATTGGAACAGCTGGCTCGACAAATAATTTACATGCATGAGTAATACAAAATAAAAATTCCTGAAACCTCTTCTATAACAGAACAATTTTGATGGCAATACTAAATGCCAATTTTAGTCTATCATAAAGAAATTGATTGCAACGGGGAACAAAACAATGCTAGTTTTGCTGCAAAATATACAATTCCAATGAATATCTAATGTTCTCAAAAAGGGCAATAAATAACATCAGTAGCGGGGCCCCATCCTAAGCTGTGTATCAACAGTACCATAAGCATGAAACATGAGAGTGTAACTGAACACAGCATGCATTACTGTATGTAAAATGCAAGAAACAAAGCATCATGACTAAGGGAATTATTAACATGAAATGGACAATTCAAAGAGACAAATCTAATTACTAGAAGGCATATGGCTCTATTTTGTCAGCAATACTAGAGAGTGAAAGACTGACACACTAATTTCCATGTCTGAGTGCGCAGCTCAGAGAATGCACTACCGTATGCATCTGCCAAATAGGTTGCCATGGAAACCACACGATGAGAATGTCAGTGAATACTCTAACAGGAGGAGGGAGCACATTCATTTTCAACTGCCTAAGACATATGGATTACCCCTACTTGCATGTGGGCAGTCCCAATCACTGTGTTTCCACGAATATATTATACAAGCTGCTATGGTTTGCCAAAGGCAAATGTTGGGGCTGGTCTACACGCATTTTTCAAGAAGTGGGGAGATGTTAATTCTATATTACGGGTTTTGACCTTATCCAACGTACATGTATATTTGTAAACACTGTATACTCAGTCCTTAACCAAGAACTTGCGAAAAAATTCACAAGCTTACTCGGGTGGGACTCAAACTCACACCATCTTGCTTACTAGTGCAGATGTCTTAACCACTTGACCACCAAGCTTGCCGGGGTCGGCTGGCCGGCCTGAGTCAGGTATTGCGGTGGGTACATTGAACTAGTTTCAAAATGTACTTTGTTTTGGGGTGATGTTAATTTTATATTATGGGTGTACATGTTTACATGTACTTTTTTTTTAGGAATCTTCAATCTTATCAGGACATCAACCAAATATTGCAGAAGTGATTTGATTGTAATAAGACATAGTAGCTAGCTCCTGTTGAATCACCTGTTCATTGTGTGTCTAAAGACAACCCCCAGATATTATAGAGATGTATACCCTGTATGAAGAAGTAACAAGTGTATGATGTACTTTCATTAAATCACAAATACAATTTGGGTCATTTTGTCCTGTTGGAATAACAGCGATAAGATCAAGGCCATAAAATTTGATCAACAAGAAGGACCATATCCAGTCTGACATTAGGCAGGTGTTATTGGCCTAGATTCCTAGCCTGCATATTGCTACTTAAAACTCAGTCTTTGGCAAACAGAAATTTTGGAGTGATTGTTAGAACGGGGTCAACAGTTTTTGATGGAAATCAGGAAATGAAACATGGTTAGACCTTGCTACTTGCTAAAGAAATATTTGCTGAAAGCAATGCAGCAAGGAACCAATGACGGGGAGGGGTGGAGGGAAGTTCACACATTGGATTTAAGGTTAAGGGGTACAACAGAACTATTGAACATTATTTACTCATTTTACACTTCCTAACGAAGTATCACAAAAAAGTCAACTTTTTTGTATTCATTCCAATTTTCAATTCCTCATTGTGACTAGTTTGAGATGAACACCGAGTAACAAAAAAAAATAATCATTTGCTGCTGATTTTTTCAATAAACGCTACTGATTTTTTTGTCATAATTTTTCTATCAATGTGTCTGCCATCTATGGTGGCCCTGAAAGGACATCACACATTGCCAATATTTTTGCATTTGCAACTTTTTTGTGAAAAAATTTACGACACTGCAAACATTTGCTGACATGCATGCATTTGGGATGTGTGATGTCCCTTTAGGGCCACCATAACTGACTGATATGCCAGAAGATGTATCTTGAAGTTCCTTCATTAAACTCTGTCATTTTCCTGCTTAGACAAGATGCTGTGAATGCCCAAATACAAAAAGATGCTCCCAACTTAAAGCTATAGTACATATAAGTCTAGTTGCAGCCTCTGATGCAGAAAGATGTACATGTAACAAGAGACAAAAAGGATCAAAGTATCGGTGCTAGAGACTGAAGTCTTGCTACTATGAAGAGACAAACAAATGGGAAACGGAGGCACACATGAAATGGAAGCAGTGGCTTAACCAAGTGATAAAGTAAGAGGGCAGGCAAAGTTAGTGGTAGAAATAGAGCCTGCTGTAGTATATGGGTTCAGCTGGCCTACCTAGCGTTTCTAGATCAAAATTATCCTCAATTGTACCGCTGATTGCTCTTCCATTGCCAAGACTCAGTTCCCGTTGCAACATAGCAGCGGCACGACGACGAGCTAGAGATGAGAAATCCAAACGTGAAAAAGAAAAACAAAACAGAAAAAAAAAAAACAAGCAGTGTACAGTGACATGCATGGCAGTGCCTATTGAGCTCATTCAGTTATCAAGACAATACATGAATATAACATCAGGTGAAATTAAAGTTATGCCCAGGTTTATCCAGATAATATGGTCAATTTCAAATGAATGAGGAAGAAAGACAAGAAAAGAAGAGACAGACAAATATTTAGACAAACAAGTAAATGAACAAACTAATGAAATTGTATGAAATAGACAAATTCACAAATGGTTCTAGAGACACACAAAAATTGGATAAAAACAGACAAAACAAAAGAACATTTGAATTAACACTGGAAAGAATAAATGAAGCAGACATATGAAGGAATAACAGAAAGGCAAACAAATCAAACTAATTACAAAAAAAAACGACAAAATCCAATGAAAGAAATCAACCACTGAAACATAAAGACGTCACGGTCAATGTTAACTTTCCACTTGAACCAAATGGATTATAAGAAAATTCAAAATTTTCATTCCAAAATGCAACCCATCATTGGGTGAAATTAAATCCAAATACTCAACTCTGAAATATGCTCTTCTGATCTGGATAAACCTCGGACATTTAGAACAAGTATTTCTCCAGGCTCAACATGCTTAATAATGGCCAACAAATACTGAACATCTATACAGCTCACACCGCATGCTTGGACTTGACATTTAAGAAAAAGAAGCTTCCCCAAGTTTCTGGAATTTGGACTTTTCTTTGGCTAATAATTGTTGATTTTGGGTGGAGAGCTTGGCTGACACAAAGTGTTTTTCAGCTTCAGGTGTAGGTAATTTGACCTGCGTTTTAATAAAAGCCTAGATTCCAGACTGTAATTCTGATGAAAACTACTGAATTCTCCCAGAATATTCAGCTGGAACTGGAATAGCATTAGATTGGTTCTTTTTTTATTAGTAAGGGAAAAAAATGGAAATGACAATGAAGTGTGCATGATGTTTACTTCTTTAGACAGGCAGAGGTAAAGTAGGGTACTTTCTAGGAACAATGCATTTTGTCTGCCTTTTCTATTTTTTTTTAAACATGACCATATCTCTGCATTGACTTGTAATTTTTAACAGAGTGCACGATTGTGAGAATTTTGCATGCACAGTTTTAGAAAACAAGACGGCAAATGATTGAATGAAATAAGTGGTGCAGAAGTTGTCTGGTTTGGGAAGTGGAGTTCATTCCAAAATGAGTCTGGCATGATCAGTGTTGTGGTCAAGATCACCATAAGACCTTTGGGTAATTCCAGAAATCAGGGGTCCAAAAGTGTGACATTTTTGTGTCCCTGTTACATCTGACCATTGTTATTTGACATGGAAATATCATAGGAATAGATTTCAAACTATTACTATTTGTTTGGCAGGTAATTTGCATTAATTTATTACTCTTGGAAATTAGAAAATGTGTTCCGAATTTACAAAATCATAGGTCAGATGTGACAGGGACACACAAAAAATGGACCCCTAATTTCTGGAATTGCCCCTTCACAAGACCAGACAGAAGTAAGAGACTGAACAACAACAAATGAATGCTTTTGTTACAGTTTAATTAATAGCATGTGACTTGAATTCAGACTGGACGTTTTGTATTGGTCTTCT